GAGTGATCTGCCGATAGATTGCTGGATCGAGTGCATGTACAGATAGATAAACAGGTACATAGAGAGATAGGTAGACAGACAAATAGAAAAATAGATAGATAGACAGACAAACAGACAGACAGACAGACAGAGAGCCAGACAGACATAGACAGACACATAGATACATAAATAGCTTGATAGATGGATGGATGGATGGATGGATAGATTGATAGGTAGGTAGGTAGAAGAGCGAGCGATACAAGAGAGAGAGAGAGAGAGAGAGCGAGACAGAGGTTTGCTGGATATATAGTTAGATAGATACAGAAGTAGATAGATCGAGTGGAAACATAGATAGATAGGTAGATCGGTAGATAGATAGATAGTTAGATAGATAGATAGATAGATAGATTGCAGATAAAGAGATCGATATGAAAATAGAAAGAAAGACAGGAAAGGAATAATTAAATGGAGAAAGAAAGAAAGAAAGAAAAGAAGGAAGGAAGGAAGGAAGGAAGGAAGCAAGAAAGGAAGAAACAAATAATGCTGGACAAATGGAAAGACAATGACAATGAATAATGAAAAGAAAAAGGAAGGACAGAAAAACATAAAAACAACGAAGAAAAGACAGATGCATAGAACTATATTTAGTTATTATTGTCGTTCCCGACCACCGGCTTCGCCAGCTCTATGTTATGCAATACAAGGCATCTACTTGCAAAGTTACAAGTTTGTAGTGTACTGCAAAAGGGTTCCACGCCACACAAAGGAAAACCAGTGAAAATTGGCCCAACATCTGCTGTTCAAACCAACAAACGTGCGACATGTAGGCCCTTGAATTCTCTGTGTCACCTGCCAACAATACTTCGGCCAATCGACCTGCAGGCGCTCCAATGCATTGGAAATCAATGCTAACCTTTCGGGACCTCGACAACACAATAGGCCAGAAAGGGGGAAAAACAAGAAGATGAACAGGTTGGCTTTGGACAACTGACATGCTTAACAAAAAATAAATCAGATGGCACATGTCTGCTGTTTCACTCCAAATAACAAGAACCATCTCGACCCAGAGATGTGACAGGCGTGCGTTTAGTGACTTTTGCGGACAAAGCTCCCCTTTTCTGGTGCATAGCACCTTGAAGAAACATAAGCCGCATTGGTGGAATTACCAGAGGTCCCGAGTTTCAGGCCAATTATAATAAGTCCTTTAGGCAATGATGGCACTCGATGAATAAACCCTGGTTGATTCATAGGGAGGGTCGCTTTCTAGAGAGATTCCTTTGATGTTGTTAACCGCTAGTTTGCAAATAACGGCTTCTCAAAAACCCTCCGGAAAATCGAGAAGTGAACGCCCACAAGACGTCCAGGGCTTCCAATCCGTTCAATCTTCAGACGGCTGCCTGGGACGGCTGCCTGGGACGGCTGGCGAATGGCAGATGGGGCCACACTCAGTTGTTCCAGTGGGAATGGCAAGCCATTCAGTGATCCCCCTTTAGTTTTTGTTCTTGGACATTTGTCGCCTTCTATGAAAATTCAGAAGTTTGATACAAGTTGGGCCTCAACATAGGGCACACTTTTGGGGCATGTATTTGATAACCTCAGTGGATGCCGGTTACCACAATAATAGTTTTGAATCAGACCCAGTGTCACTGGGAGCACTCAGATCATAGTTGTGAGAAACAAGTGTTTCTCTGATACCAAAGTGGGCCATGCTATGACTAGCTTTCTCACTAAGCAGGTTCCCGTAGCGCAGAAAGTGGCAACCGCCCCAATTTTCCCCACCAGATTTGATTGTTCCCATTTTTCCCAATTTTCCCCAATTTTTCCCTGCCCCAGTTGTCCCCAATCCCCAAGGCACCAGAATTGATTCCCAGCGATCCGCCGGCGCCGTCAGTTGCGAGTCTCGGGTGCCCCGGCTCCGTAGGAGAAGGCCCAGTTGCTCCCGCACCTGCTCCGTCTCCGCCTGCGCGAAAGCAAGCTGGCGTCCGTTTCAAAGGATCCGGCGGAATATTTTCCAGATGCAAAGCAGGGGCTTGTACGAGATGGACAAATCTGGATTCAGGGAAGGTGGCAGCCAGGTCCCCCTGCTTTTTGGTCAGAAGTTCCGCTTCCGGTCATGCGCTGGTTCCATTGTTCATCTACATGTGTTTTTGTTTTCATAGCATCAAGCATGGATTGGCAGATGCCGACACGTTCCAGACGTAAACAACGGTGGAAGAGCCACAACGAGCTGGTTTCCGCCGCCGGCAAAAAGTGGATGCAAACTTCTTTTCAGATCGCTGAAAAACACGTGGGCGTGTCTGCCCAACATTTCCTGGGGGTGCCACTCAGAAAGTATGATATATTCTAAGGTTGCTTAAATATGAAACATCATATGATCAGGTATTGTATACATATATTTTTATACCTACATACATATATGTCTACACACACACGCGCAGCTCTGCCTGCACTTTCCCATGCCACGCTGGCTACGCTTTCCCATGGGCCAACGCCCCTCTGAGCTGACTGGCCGACAAGCCTGGTTGGGCCGTGCTGTGACGAAGGCGGCTAAGAATAGGCTTGACAAGGTCTGCCCTGAACGGGCGGGCTCACCTGGATGTTTTTTGAGGATACAGCACCAGTTGTTGCCAATTTGAGAGGAAATCACATGGAAAACCATCGGCGCCCCATTTTGGCACTGTTCCAAGATTCTCTCTTGTCGCCTCAAGGCAAGCCCCACTTAGGGGAATTGTGAGTTTCTTCCCATATTCCCCGAGAGCTGCCACATTTAAATTGGGTTTCTGTAATTGGAAATAAGTGATCCCCCAGTAAAGCACCGTCGGGTTCGCGCAGTTGGCATACCCAAGATTGTCGGGGTCGCATCCAAGCCTGCCTGTCTGAAGGGCTCGCTTCCCCATGGATTCTCCCTTGAAAAGTGCCGCAGTGCTAAAAGAGTGCAAAAAGAGCGGAATCCGCAACTGCATCTAAAGTGAGAGCCGACTCTGGCAGCGTTGCACCATCGAAACCATGCCAGAACATTGGAGCCAAGGTGCCAATTTTCCCTATAGGTATGCGGCAAACGCCGTCAGCTCCTTTCAGGGGGGTTGGACTCCCATTTTGGGTTCGGAGCAGCGCCGATTGACGTTTGGTTTGCACCAAGTTGCAAGCGCTCATGTAGCCCATGAAACCAGGTAGGAACCGAACCTCGGAATTTGGGCGCTGCTCACATTAATTTGCAGGAAAGTAACTGGATCTTCTGGGTAGAGGGTATGATCTTTCTAGAGGAGCGGCTTGTTTCTTGTTCAACCCAACCTGGAAACGGGTACAAACAAACCCGCACACACCCAAGAATCCTCATCTAAAACCACACGCCCAGGTTCTCGCCTTCAGCTCGAGCCGCAAAATTGCCTGCGAGGCAGCCGGTTTGTCGTGAGATGGGTGCTCCAAAGTAGGAATTCGGGCCCCTTTGAGGAACAAGCAAACAATTGGATTGCGACATCCCATCTTTCTTGCTGCCAAATTCCAAGCCACAACGGTCGATGGGGGCTCTCAGGTGCGGATTTGTTTTTAAGACAGGAAACTAAGGGCAGGTGGGCCAAGTTTGTCCAACCAAAAGGGCCACCTGTAGCTGACACCCACGATGATTCAAAGCCTTCAGCATTCATCTCGCCTTGGGGAATTGCAATCATTCGCGCCGGGTATGTGAGGTCGCCATGATCTGCTCATCATCCATTAATGCAGCGAAAAGGAACTTCTGACTGACCTTTGCGGAAAATGATGTCATTTTTGAGGGTACCTCTTCTGGAAGTGGTGCAAGAAGAAACCAGTTGAAACCGTCCACCACTATTTGAGGGTTCTCATTAAGACAAACCCAGAAATTACAACTTACTCCTCTGCATGCACAAAAACAACGCGGAAAAACGGGGCCCTTTCCCCAAAATGCACAACATGGTCTCCAAAGTCAAGGGTAAAGGGGTCTGCAAGCAGCAAACAACTCAAAGCGTGATCTCGCAAGTGGGGGTGGGCAGGTGCTGTAACCCACCCCCCTGTGCTACTTACGTAACCCCGACATCCATCGACGTCAAGGTAGGCATTTTCTTCACACGAATCCCTCTAGAAATGGATGTCCTTGTGCGCCCGCCTTCCGTTCCAAAGATCAAAGATCAAAGATCAAATCGGCCAAGAAACAGAGGGTTCCAGAAACTCCATTCAAAGGTCAATCATTCACAAAGCGATGATGCCTCTTTCCCAGCTGTTTTCCCCCGAGCAAAAAGAACATTAACAAAAAAGGAGAAAAAAAGAAGAAGAATAAAAAACTGGAGAAAAAAGAGAAACACAAACCACGGGCCGGCGTTGCACTCACCGGCCATCGATCCGATCCCCGCGGGTCTCCAAACTCCGCGGCCTTGGCCGGCAGGAAGGAGACTTCCGTGAGGCCCACGAACCTGAGAAAGGGACTCGAGAGCGCCCGGAGCCAAGTGCGGGCTCCAACAGGTTTGGGGTCCAACGCTTTTGTTTGTTTTTTTGGGAAGGAACTACCTTTTTGTTTTGGAAGGGGGCTTCCTGAAAATCGGGTTTGGCTCCAAACTGAATTTTAGGATAAGGGCTTCCTGGAAAATAGGGTTTGACTCCAAACTGGTTCGGGCTTTGGGAATGAACCCGATGTTTTGGGGGGCTTGGGTGTGAGAGAAAAAATGAGGGGCTCATTCCCAAAACCCGGAGGTCTGAGACAAATCCCTGACCAAAGGCTTCGGATCTTGCGGATCGATCCAAACATCCCCTTGCCTCGGGGGTGCTCCATGCTTGAGGCTCGGTACCGATTTCTGCCGTTCAACTTCCTTGCAAGGAAATTGGTGTTTTCACCCGGAAAAGAAAGAAATCTCTTGGACGAGCGCCGAAGAGGACCGAGTAGGACAGGGGCTAAGTAATAATACTAATAATCATTATAATATGTTTTCTGGGAATATTATTCTTAGGGGGACAATATTACATTCGGCCGGCTGGCCCTTGAAAGAACCTAGATGCCCCAAAAGGGCGTGCCACAACCTCGTGCGACGAAAAACAGCTCGGGGGGAGCAACCTAGCCGCACAATGCGCATGCCCATGAACCCATCGGGGCTGGTTTCCCAGAATTAGCCACAACGATCACTTGCCCAATATAATGAAGCTTTGTTTCCCTAGATGCCGCTTTGCATTTCCCAAGTCCCGGCTTGGCGCGCAGGCTTCCTCCTGGAAAATGTGGGACTGGAATACTAGATCTTGTGAATGAAGCTAAAAGAGAAGGTAAAAAGATAAGATGAAGAAAGAGGTTGAGAACCAGAATGTCTATCTTCCTTGAACCATCATTGACATCTAGAAATTACATAAGACATGGATGGGTGAAGAGATGAAAGAAGAGAACTAACTATCGTATTCACCATTTGTCTTTCTTGTTATTCTCTTCTATATCATTTTCATACTTCTTCATATTTCACCAGCTAAGCACGAGGAAAACCTCAATTTTGGGCGGTCCCGTAAAAGCAGACGCACCCAAAAGGACAAAAGCGAGCTCCCTCTTCCTTGGCTTTGAACTCCGAGCGAATCGAGCGACACCATATGTTTTTGGGCTTCTGTACATTCACGGCGCATTCATGGGCTTCCAACCAGAGCCTGAGAGGCATCTGCGGAGAAAGGGGCTCCGTTCTCCAAAAGGATTCTTCTGACAATACTGCTTTTCAGGCAACTCGGGACTTCCGTCCCCGCTCGCCACTAAACCAAACCGGCTTAAGAAAAACAAAAGAAAAAAGCGGCACCAGCACAAGGATTTGGATCCAAATCGAAGCAAGCCACCGGTTTTTGGGCCTGGTCGCTCGGAAAGACTTGGGCCCCGGGCAGCAGCATGCAGAATCCCACCCCCGCGGAGGCCAGGCCCAGCGACAACAAGAGGTCCAGGGCCGCGAACCTCGATCCGGCGAAGCTGAGCTCACAACCAGCGGATCGGAGATCGGAGGTCCCTGAGCTGTTTTCTTTGTTTCTAAGCAATGACCTCTTGGGTTCTTGGGGTGTCAGAGCAGAACTGTGACACCAATCCCAACCTCGAATTATTTGAAGCTTTCTCTGACCAGTCCATCGGAAGGCGGGTAGCAAACCACGGCGGTCGCGGCGGGGAGGAACTTAGCTTCAAAATCGTGGCTCCTCGAAGAAGGGACCTTGGTAGGAGTGCCCCTCGGCCCTCCCGGCCCCGCGGCCCCCCTCGGGGCCCCGGCTGCTGTCGGAAGTTGAAGTCGAAGGCCGCAGTGGTGGAGTCCAGCCAGCGAAGTACCTACTTGTCTCTGTAGTCTGGGGGGGGGGGGGGGTGATGGGTCTTTGTCTTTGTTTTTCTCTTCTCTTCTTTTTTGGGGGGGTCTGGGTCCAAAGTGACATACACAAAAAAGCTCTCATTTCACCCAAGTTTGTTTTGAGAACTGCACATCTTCTCCGGATGGGACCCCCAGGTGCCGTTCCCGGAAGCTGCTTGCAGCAATACGCTGGGGGAAATGGTCTTTCGAGTTGAAAGGGGAAAAAAAGCAGAGTCTGTGTGAAACCTGGGCTGGGCTTGGTTTTGCCGAAGCCAGCAAGCGAGTAATCCGGAGTCACTTCTGGGGTTCCATACATGCTCCCAAGAGCGTGGTCTAAACCACCACCCTAACCTGGGTGGGAACTCTCATGGGGACGCCTTTGGTGGGTTCATTAGTTTCAAACACAACAGCACTTCTCTAGGCTGAGCCATTCCCAGTGTTAATGTGCTCACGTAATCGGACAGATCGAAACAAAACAAACACCATCAAAACACCGATGAGAATGGTACACCACGGAAACGGAAATTCGACCTCTCCTACCAGTCTGCCATTCCCAACAGCTGCACCATTGTTCAACGTTCCCGCCCCCCCTGCCGCCCTTCAGTGGGCATCACCATTCAGCCAGACTTAGCCCCGCAACGGAAGGTCTGAGGTCAAACATTCCCCTGGTTCCTCCCCTCAGCCCGTGGGGCACGCTCGGCCTGGGCGGAGGCCAAGTTCCCATGGGTTGATTGCCCGAAATCCAACAAATGGGGTCAATTGCCGAAGGGAAACCACAAGCGAGCCAATTTTCTGGAGTCCTGTTCGAGGTAAAACCCCAACTTCTTGCCGCAACCAATTATTTATCAAGGGCTCTCCAGGAGTCCTTGCGGTGCGTCTCTCATTCCCAAAGGGTTGATGACCATTCCCGAGCATGCCAGGACCATGTCACATGTACACGTCATTTCTTGCAGGTTGCCATTAAGCCAACCACGAACCATGCCTGTCTTGCAGGAAAGTCCTTGTTCCCCACTCGTTTTCTAGGGAATAAAATATGTGCCTCAAAATGGGAGAGCGAGTCTTTGGAAGAGTCGATATGAGTACCAAGAGAGGGCAAACCACCTGAGGCATTCCAATTTGTCTAAGGCAACCCGTTGATTTGGAAATCTTGGAACCCGGGAATGTACTGTGCCTGGATGCTAGCAGAAAACGACCTTGGCAGATGGTTCCTTCTTAGCAGGAGCAACGAACACACAAACCAACCAGTCTAACGTGAAGAGACAATTGATGAAACATGATAAAGACCATGTTAGGCAGTTTCTGGCAAGAGATATGTTGGAGGTCTGTAAGGGAAGTGGGTCAGATCAGCCACCTTGACTCTGGTTGATTTCTTACCAGCAGGTGAGGGCGCAAACACATTTGAGCAGATTTGTGTACTGTTCAAGATACAAAGCAGAAAAGAGGCACCTTCCGGGAGCCGAACAGCTCACGCGCAGTTCACTCGCCCCAGGCTCACGCGTATGGTCGGACCCAAACCTCACCGCAAGGCCCATGGCAATTGCCAACTGTGATCTCACTTACACTCCCACGAGGATTAAGCCCCCCTCCCCTCCCCCCTCCCTCAGCCCCTCCCGAACTGCCTCAGCAGCGACGCGGACCACCAGGTGGCATAGCAGAGAGAAGCCCAGAAGGCCAAACCTTTAGCCTCAGTCCCCAAACTCCAAGAGCGACGTGTTTCAGGCAACGTGTCCACGCTGCACGGCATGCAGCATATGCTCCGAAGTGCATTTCGCCTAGGCGACAACCAAATGCGCGCCCAAAGTGCTTGACATGCCCGCGCTTCTGGGTTTACATAACCACCGAACCCCTGCAGTCTAACTCCAATATCTAAGAGATGTGGCAGGCGCAGCGAAACCAATTATCCCAGCTCCGCAGCTTTCGCATGTGGCAACAACGACGCAGCTTTCGCCCGGCATGTAAACAGATGTTCCTCCAAAATGACTCCCCGAACAAAACAAACACAAAGACAAATCATGCGGAAGAATTGAAAATTCGGGGGGGGGGGGGGGTGGGGGGGGATGCTGCATGGAGAGATACCCAAAGGTAGCCAGCCATCATCTCACTTTCTTGCTTGACCTGTTAGGGGGCTTCGAGTCCCTTCAAAACAGGACCCCTTTGGAAAACAGGGTGCCAGAATGCATTGTTGATTAGTAGAGTTGGCCTCTTGTGGAGGGCATCCTGGGCTTCTGGTGGGGGAGGGGGGGAATTACAAGTCAGGAGACAAGTGTGCGTTGAGATAGGGTTTTAAAGGACACCGACCAGTGTGGCCTTCTATATTTCCACCGTACCCATCTATTCCTCGCGCTGCCAGCCACTGCGGCCAAGTGTGTCTTTCCTGCCGAGCACTTTTTTCATGGCGAGGAAGGGACACTGTTAGTCGCTGGCTGAGTTTGAAGGGATCCTCCCTACAAAGCACCAGAAGGAAATCTTGATGAGAAGTGAAGACGTTCCCGAGTGGTGTTTTTGGTGCCAGCAAATCAAACTGGTGCGGGCAAGTTACACTATTTCAGGCGTATACGCTCGTTTTGCCCTCCGGCTGAGATCGCCATTTGCCTAGAACTCAGAACCCAAGCATCTCTCCCTCTCTCTCCCAATGCGGGGAGTTTGAGTAGGGGAATCCCCAAAAACGGCATACTACGCATCTTGCGGGTGATTGGAACCTCCATTTCGCAACCGCTTGATTGGAAAGTGGGCAAATGATCATCCATGCTCGTTTGTTCCCTGAAGGGTCCAGGTGTACGAAAAAGAGTGGCTCGGCGCTCGTTGTCTTCGCTGGTGTTTTTCATGAGGCCTTCTGCAGCCCGTGTTTTTGTCCAACTAGCGCTGACCGCAGGTTTCAGCCGCACCAAACACTTGTTGCCTGTGCGGGCGCTGGGGGCTCCACTGCCGTAGCCCTCCAAAGAGTGTTCAAATCACGTTGAATCCCTTTGTGGTTTCCAGTGCTCTGGAAGGCAAAACAGGACCCGAATCGATTTGGATCCCTTTCGGTGCATTCACCTAGCTAAAATGGGTCTGAGAAACCAAACCGTACCCTCCCACCAATTTTCCCTGGAACCTGCAAAAGGAAAGTGGTCGTCCTCCAGGATCCCTCCCCCCTTTACGTCAGGTTCCCCAAGTGAATCGCTGGGCATGTACCCGGCCGAAACTCGGGGCACTCGGGGCGCCCTGCGGCGCAGAGGGCCACCTTCGCCTCGGGGCACTTGTTGTTTTTTAAGCTGAGAGACGGTCCCAGAAAAAGGAACAGGACCGTGGGATCGCATTTCAAACCACAACAAAAGACGTTCCTTTTTCTTTTTTGAGCTGAGGCCGTGGGTTTGAAATGTGGAAAAGGTGGTTGTTTGCCCTTAACATGGCGGCGGTTTTCCCCCTGAAAAAGGCGGCGTGTCCCTTTAAAACGGCCCAAAAGTCTGCGGGTCTGAACCGAGGCTTCGCACCTTTTGGGGTTCAGGGAGTGGGAGTTGAAATGGCCTGTGAACCTGTGGAAGAAAATGAGGGAACGGCTGAGAAAACCAGGCGGGTGGGTCGCCATGAGTCGGACCGGAACGCAGATCCGACCCAGCTTCCCTGGTCTTGGAACGCGTCTGGATGTCTGGATGCGTCAAAAGAAGGGAACGAGCGCGTCGTTTGTAGTTGACGCCCCCAATGGCAGGTGTTCCCTTCAGTTTCTCTTTAAACCCAGAAAGAAAAAAAGGCGCCCTCAAAAAAGACGCGCCCAGTTGTCCTTTCGGTGGTCCTTTGAGCCAAGTTGAAAAGGGAACCTCCAAACAAGGAACCCAAACCTTCCCCTCCGTTTCGCAAACGCAGGGCTCCTTGCACCGGATGCCCCGCATTTGTGGGTCCATGTCGCATCGTTGGCTTAAGATGTTCTGATGGGTCATACTTGGTCTTCCCTAAAATACAACATGGTTTAGGAGACCCCAGAATTCTCTCTCCCAGAAACAAATCTGGAAGCGCACTTGGAAGATCGAACTCAAACCTTCCCGGCCGAAAGAGTAGAGCACCAGTCGTGACTATGTTCCTTTAAAACTAAGGAAGAAAAGAAGAGGAAAACACAATTGGGTGCGTGTGTGTGTGTGTGTCTACATAGGAAGACCCGGAATTTGGTGGGGTACCTTTGGTTTCCCTGGCAAGGTGAAAGGTACCAACTCCAAAAAAGAGAAACCCATATCCTTTCAATTTCTTGAGCAGAACCGAAGCGGTCTTTTCCTGGTGTTTTTGGTGTATCCTTTTTGTTGTGCCTAAGGGAACAATGGAAAACCACCGGGTGTCCCTGTGTTGGACACAAACCCGTCTGATCTCAAAGGACCTGGATATCACCCTTTTTGGGGGTCGATGATCAACCAATTTGCCAGACGGGCAAGCCTCGATCCCATCTACTGCAGATTGATTCAGAGTTGCCAACTTGTTCCCGACTTGCCTTAAATTGAGCGAGCTGGTACAAATATGGAGTCCTCACCTGTTCCTCAAAGTTGGGGAGGACCTCCGATGGGTGTCCTGGTGTTTTCCCTTCAAGACCATCCAAAAAAAAGGGGTCCGTCCTTTTGAGACACACCCACATGAGCATATGTTTTAGTTGGGGACCCTTTCGCTGACACCATATACATAGAAATGCATGTCCGCCGACCATGTTTGAGGGTGTCCCGGTTCAAACTCATAGACACACAAGTAGCACAGTGAGCTCAAAGCCACTGCCACTTATGATTGTTGTGTTTGTTTTGTTTCTTCGTAAAACGATAAACAACATCATGATGATGATGATGACGATGAGGATGATGATGATGATGATGATGATGATGATGATGATGATGATGATGATGATGATGATGATGGTGATGATGACGACGACGACGATGATGATGATGATGCCGCCAATACTGACAATAATAGTATAATAATTAAGAATAATACAATGTGTTCCATGATCATGTCGTAACTTGGTTTTCAAATATCCCCCCAAACTCATTCGGTGGTGGTTGATTGGCACTCGGATGGCTTGAAGCCGAATCAAAACACCAGTTCCTCGGCACCTTCCACAAAGCAGAGATCACCGCCCCTCCGCCCGCCCACCTCGCATATCGCGCAAACTACACGGTCGTCTGAAATCTGAACAACCCGCTTCGGAACAGCCGTTCTATGTTTCCAAGTTTAGCTTCCATACTTTCAAGAGAGAATCCTCTACCAACGAAAGTAACGTGGTCTTTTGACCATGGCACATTTGACGGTTGTTCAAAAAGGGGATGTTTTGATTTGGACCATTGTGCGCCCCCTTTCAAGGGAAACATCTAGTGATTCGGGGAGGGGCTAGGGCTGTTGGGCGGGGGCCGGGCCGGGCGGGGGCCGGGCAGGGGCCGGGCGGGGGCCGGGCGGGGCCGGGCGGGGGCCGGGTGAGTCTCTGACAGAGCCCAACATTGGCAAAAGTTGCGGAAAAAATGGCAAACAGCCAAGACCAACAAAAAGCAGCGGGTTCGATCGCGTTTCTGGGCTGCCCGTGCCAGCGTCCAGCAGAAGTCCGAGAACGTGGCGGTGTGGTCGTGGAAAACGGCGCGCCACTAGCGGAGCGAGATGGAAACGGCCCGACAAAGACGGGTGCCTTCTGAAAACCCAGGAGGGGGAAGGGGGGGGGGGGGGGTGGGAGGAGGGGAACCCCCAGCAAATACATGGAGCTTCAATTCAAGTGGCCTCCCCTGAATATATTGGTAGTTGTTGGGTCGTTGACCCCCTACATGTTGTTGGAGAAGAGAAGGGTTATTCCGGTCACACCCCATTGGCCAGGATTCCACCAGGAATCCAGTGACGCCGACTGCTACCCTTATGACTTACCATGTTGAGCCCAAATTTCATGGGTCTGAGAAAAAATCCAGCTGCCTGACTCTTTGCCCCCCCCCTTCACACTCAAAAATTCGAGGCCTGTCGGTCCGCCAGGCACCATTGCTTTGCGGAGGCCGCACGAGTCCTGGCGTTTTTAGTGCCCTTCCCCCCCCACGCAATTGGGTCGCAACCAACACCATGGTATTAAACCCAAACCGTGCCCGAAGCTTCACTTGGTCAACTTTTGTGCAATTGACCGGTTTCGCTTTGGTTTTGTGGTTTTGGCTTTTGCACGGAAGGTATGTAGGTCAGAAGACCCAGAGTTTTTGGAAGAAAATGGCCTTAGCCTTTTGTGGTGAGCGGGTCAGACCGTCTTGCCCCGTTCAGCAGCCTCTGGCCTTACAATCCTGCGCCGAAACCGGCCAAATGAGCCACAGCCTCAAAATTACACGAGCTTCGCCTGACAAGTAATGGTTAGAACCCCTCAAAGTCTTCGCTCCCAACCCAGATTTGGGATACAGTTCTACTTCATGTGCAAAATATCGGATCGCGGGCACTCAAGGTATGTTCTCTCTGCACATCCAAAAGACCTTATTCTCAAGAATACAAGGGTTGCTCCCCAAGCCCGATCGAAGGGTAGAACAGCCCCAAGGGCGAGCGGCTCGAGATCGATCGCGATCTCCTGACCACGATTCTCAGAAGCTCATCGAGCCTCAGACGAACGGGCAGTTGGCCCTTGGGTATGGAAAAAGATGACGTTCTGTGATCCAAAGCGGGCCATTCTACGTCATCACTTTGAAGGAGATTCCCTGGCCCTAAAAGCCAACTTTCCGCAACCATGAGCTGGTTTCAAGCCAATGTTGTCTCCACCTCAAGGGGTTCGTCTAAAACCCTACGGACCCAATCCTTGGGGGCATCATTCCTAGGGTTGGTGGGGTCGGTGGGGTCCCTAAATCTACGTGCCAAAAGGCACATGGCCTGGCTGCCTATGCTTCCCTTGGACGGCGCCTCTTTCACATATGCCGGTGCCACGGTGCTTCCATTTTGAAACGAAAATTACTTGCTTGGACACACAGCAATTGGTGGCCACAGGATCTTCGTCCTGGCAATGGCACTGTGATCATCAAACCATGGTGTTTTCAGGTCTTCATCCAAAGTTGGGAAGAAAAAGCTATGTCGAGAGCCTCTTGAGTCACAATCAAAACCTGTTACCGGTAAAGTCCAAAGTATAGTTTGGAACTTGCTCCCCCTGAACTGCCAGCGCATGCAAGCACGCCTTTGTCCGTGTCTTCTTCAAGCGCATGTGTAAAGTCAAGTTAACTAGTTAAGTAGCTAGCCGGCTAGTTGGCTAACTAGCTGGATTTGTATTCAACTAGTTGGAGAGTTAGCTAGGTAGATAGCTTGCGGGCTAGCTAGCTAGTTTCCTGGTACGTGCCTAGTTGACGTGCTAGTTATGCAGCTCTTAGCTTAGGCTAGAATGTTGGCTAATTTGGAAAGCTTGCCGGCCAGCTGCAGCTGGCAGTCAAACAGTCAAATTAGCTAGCTAGTTAGCTAAGCTAGGTCTTCGGTACTTAGCTATCCGATGAAAAGCAACGACGCCCGAGTTTTGGAGGGTCGACCCCACGAAAGCACGCAGGGGTTCAGCGTTTGATGGTCAGCTTCTTGAAGAAACCACTAGAAGGCCTTTCAAATTGCAAATTCTTCAATGGCTCTCTGGTCACAAAAGTGAGGTATCCCAGCGACGAAGGATCTAAAGATCCAACAAGTTGTTGGCGTTTGCAGTTTGATTGAAACCAATCTGAAAAAGGGTACCGTAAAAAAGACTCATTCCCAAACCCCCCAATCCCCAACCCCCAACCCCCAAACCCCAAAACTGCACGCACACGCACACACACACAACCCTAACCAAACCCCAGTCCAAACAGGCCAACAGCCGGGGACCACACGTGAAGGGCTCCGTGCTCCAGGCGTGAATGCCCTGCTCCTGTCGCAGCTGCAAGTGGGCCCTGGCCACACGGGACGAAGGCCACTCGCGAAGATGAGTGGAACACGCGAGTGGTTCGTGTGTGTTGTGTTGTGTCGTGTCGTGTTGTGTTGTGTGTCGTGTTGTTGTGTTGTGCTGTGCTGTGCTGTGCTGTGTTGTGTTGTGTTGCGTTGTGTCGTGTTGTGTTGTGTTGTGTCGTGTCGTGTTGTGTTGTGTTGCGTTGTGTCGTGTCGAGTCATGTTGTGTTGTGTCGTGTTGTGTTGTGTTGCGTTGTGTCGTGTTGTGTCGTGTTGTGTTGCGTTGTGTCGTGTTGTGTCGTGTTGTGCCGTGTTGTGTTGTGTTGTGTCGCGTTGTGTCGTTTTGTGTTGTGTCGTGTTGTGTTGTGCTGTGTTGTGTTGTGTCGTGCTGTGTTGCGTTGTGTCGAGTCGCAATGTGTTGTGTTGTGTTGTGTGGTGTTGTGTCGTGTCGTGTTGTGTTGCGTGTCGTGTTGTGTTGTGTCGTGGTGTGTTGTGTCGTGTTGTGTTGTGCTGTGCCGTGCTTTGTTGTGCTGTGCTGTGCTGTGTTGTGTTGTGTTGTGGTGTGTCGTGTGGTGTTGTGTTCTGTTGCGATGTGTCGTGTTGTGTTGTGTTGTGTTGTGTCGTTTGTTGTGTTGTGTTGCGTTGTTGCGTTGTGTCGTCGTGTCGTGTCGTTTTGTGTTGTGTCGTGTCGTGTCGTGTTGTCTTGTGTTGCGTTGTGTCGTGTTGTGTCGTGTTGTGCCGTTTTGTGTTGTGTCGTGTCGTTTTGTGTTGTGGCGTGTTGTGTCGTGTTGTGTTGTGTTGTGTTGTGTTGTGTTGTGTCGTGTCGTGCTATGTTGTGTTGCGTTGCGTCGTGTCGTAATGTGTAGCGTTGTGTTGGGTGGAGTTGTGTCGTGTCGTGTTGTGCTGTGCTGCGTTGTGTCGTGTTGTGTTGTGTTGTGTTGTGTTGTGTCGTGTTATGTCATGTTGTGTCGTGTCGTTTTGTGTTGTGTCGTGTTGTGTTGTGTTGTGTTTTGTCGTGTTGTGTTTGTGTTGCGTCGAGTCGTGTTGTGTTGTGTTGTTGTGTTGTGTCGTGTTGTGTTGTGTTGTGTCGTGTTGTGTTGTGTTGTGTTGTGTTGGGTCGTGTGCTGTTGTGTTGTGTTGTATTGTGTTGTGTCGTGTCGTGTTGTGTTGTGTTGCGTTGTGTCGTGTTGTGTCGTGTTGTGCCGTTTTGTGTTGTGTCGTGTTGTGTCGCGTCGTCACGTTGTGCTGCGTTGTGTCGTGTTGCGTTGCGTTGTGTCGTGTTGTGTTGTCGTGTCGTGTCGTGTTGTGTCGTGTTGTGTTGTGCTGTTGTGTTGTGTCGTGTTGTGTTGTGTTGTGTCGTGTTGTGTTGTGTTGTGTTGGGTCGTGTGCTGTTGTGTTGTGTTGTGTTGTGTCGTGTCGTGTTGTGTTGTGTTGCGTTGTGTCGTGTTGTGTCGTGTTGTGCCGTTTTGTGTTGTGTCGTGTTGTGTCGCGTCGTCACGTTGTGCTGCGTTGTGTCGTGTTGCGTTGCGTTGTGTCGTGTTGTGTTGTCGTGTCGTGTCGTGTTGTGTCGTGTTGAGTTGTGTCGTGTTGTGTTGTGTCCTGTTGTGTTGTGTTGCGTCGTGTCGTGATGTGCTGTGCCCTGTTGTGCTGTGTCGTGTTGTGTTGTGATGTGTCGTGCTGTGTTGTGTTGCGTGGTGTTGTGTCGTGTCGTGTTGTGCTGTGCTGTGCTGTGTTGTGTTGCGTTGTGTCGTGTCGTGTCGAGTTGAGTCGTGTCGTATTGCGTTGTGTTGTGTTGTGTTGTGTCGTGTGGTGTTGTGTCGTGTCGTATTGGTTGCGAAGTGTTGTGTTGTATTGTGTTGCGTCGTGTTGTGTTGTGTCGTGTCCTGTCGTGTTGTGCTCTGTTCTGTTGTGTTGTGTTGTGTTGCGTTGTCGCGTGTTGTGTTGCGTTGTGTTGTGTTGTGTCGTGTTGCGTTGTGTTGTGGTGTGTCGTGATGTTCTGTTGTGCTCTGTTGTGTTGTGTTGTGGAATGTTGTGTTGTGTTGTGTGGTGTTGTGTTGTGTTGTGCTGTGTTGTGTCGCGTTGTGTCGCGTCGTGTTGTGTTGCGCTGGGTTGTGTTGTGTTTTGTTGTGCTGTGCTGTGCTGTGTTGTGTTGTGTTGTGTCGTGTGGTGTTGAGTTGTGTTGCGTTGTGCTGTGTGGTGTGGTGTTGTGTTGTGGTGTGTGTGTTGTGTGGCGTTGTGCCGTGTCTTCTTGTCTTGTCTTGTCTTGTCTTGTGTTGTGTTTTGTTGTGTCGTGTTGTGTTGTGTTTTGTTCTGTTGCGATGTGTCGTGTTGTGTTGTGTTGTGTTGTGTCGTTTGTTGTGTTGTGTTGTGCTGTGTCGTGTGGTGTTGTGTTGTGTTGTGTTGTCCTGTGGTGTGCTGTGTCGTGCTGTGTTGTGTTGTGTCGTGTTGTGTTGTGTTGTGTCCTGTTGTGTTGTGTTGTGTCGTGTCGTGATGTGCTGTGCCGTGTTGTGTTGTGTCGTGTGGTGTTGTGTTGTGTTGCGTCGTGGCGTGTTGTGTTATGTTGTGTTGTGCTGTTTTGTGTTGTTTTGTGTTGTGTTGTGTTGTACTGTGTGTTTTGTGTTGTGTGTTTTGCTGTGCTGTGCTGTGCGGTGCCGTGCTGTCTTGTCTTGTCTTGTCTTGTCTTGTGTGGTGTGGCGTGGTGTGGCGTGGTGTTGTGTGGTGTGTGTTGTGTGTTGTGTGTTGTGCGTTGTTTGTTGTGTGTTGTGAGTTGTGAGTTGTGAGTTGTGTGTTGTGTGTTGTGCGGTGTGTGTTGTGTGTTGTCTGCTGTGTGTTGCGTGTTGTGTGTTGTGTGTTGCGTGTGGTGTGTTGTGTGTTGTGTGTGTTGTGTGTTGTGCGTTGTGTTGTGTGTTGTGGTGTGTGTTGTGTTGTGTTGTGTTGTGTGTTAATTAGTGTGCGTGTGTTGCGTGTTGTGTGTTGTGTGTGTTGTGGGTTGTGGGTTGTGGGTTGTGGGTTGTGGGTTGTGTGTTGTGTGTTGTGTGCCGTGTGCCGTGCGCCGTGCGCCTGTGTGTGTGTGTGTGTTCGTTTTGGGGCTACCCGTTTTGGGGTGGTTTTGAAGGGTGAATAGCAATGGCAGCCATTTGGGGGGTGCCAATTCGAACACACGCCCGGATTGCCCCTTGAGGCTCGGCCAAATGCATCCGAGCCCTGCAAAAAGTCACAACAGTTTGCTAGTCGAAAGGGATAGTTGCAAAAAGTTAGTCCAGTCTGGCAATGTAGGTGCGAGCCGAAGGTTGGGGACACCCCTTTTGGATGGCTTGAAAAGGAAAATTAACTGGAACTCATCTAGAGGGTTCCTCCTCTGCCTGGGAATGTACCCCAACGAGCCCCAGGGCACGCTGAGTGCCTGCCAGGGACTCGCCCGAGGAGATTTCGGGGCAAGCACCGTTTCTTTCCGCGTTGAAGCGGGAATCTGCGCTGGAGTCGGCCTAAAATCCACACCGCCGCCTGTTGCAAAACAAGAAGTCCTTAGGGCCCCCCCACTCCCCTCCCCCCTCTTCAAATACTTGGATCTGATTTTCATTTCGGTGTCCAATCAAAAGGTCCATGCTGCCCGGTGGATGTCCATTTACTTTGCGGGCGAACAACGTCCAACCGCCGAGTCGATCAGGGGCATTTTGCACATGAAAGTAGATGAGGGGCGTAAATTTAACCCTACACTACAGGCGTACATGACTTTAGGCAGTAACTATGCGTACTTATATTACACCGTTCATACAAGTATAGTTCTACTACAGGCGTGTACTACGTACACCCTTCCCCGGAGCTGTGCCTGTACTGCTGGTGGGGCCGCTCGTGCTCGTCATCCAGCACCGGCTCCAGCGCCAAGAGCTGGGGGCCTTCGGTTCCAGGGAGGCTATGGGAGGGGTAAAGTGGGGGGGGGGCCTTTCAGGGGGGGGGGGACTGGAGTTGTTTGATTTGTTGATGGTTTTAGTTTGTGGGGGGAGGGGAGACAAAAAGGGGGGGGGCGGGACGGGATTTGTTTGATTTGTCCTTTAAGTTTTTCTGTGGAGGGGGAAGGGCAAATGGGGAGGGGGGGGTTGGAGTTGCTTTGTTTCTCTCGAAGACTTGATTGTTTTGAGTTTCTGACTAGAAGACAGGCGGATTTATGCAATGGACATTTTTCGATTGTCCCGGTGACAACTTTGGGCTCAGCGGTTGCCGCCGGCCCTGGAGCACGCTGAAGTCTATGCCTCGCGCTTGCTGGCTCAGCACTCGCTGTGTGCTATTTGGCTGCGCGATATGTCTGGCGACTTCATGGGAAGAACCGTTCTCTTACGATACCTTCGGAAAAAAGTCAGGTCAGAACTGCGAAGCTGCTCTTCGCGTACTACTTTTGCGCTGAGCAATGTTCAATTCAGAGCTTCTAAAGAGTACTTCGCACACCGCATTCGTGCTGGATGCTTTCCGAGCCGGAGCTGCGCCAGCGCATGGCGTACTACTTTCGTGCTTAAAGTGTGCGATGTTCAAGCCAGAGCTGCGTCACTGTACTTTGCGTACTACTACACATGGAAAAGTTGATACTCGAAGCTCACCCAACTCGCCTGGCTTACCAAGAAACAAAATTTTCGAGCCCGGAAGAAAGTAGCATTTCCCTCATGTTTTTAGCGTTGACCAACTCGATCTCTGCAGAGGGCCACGCAGGCAACTCCAAAAGTCGAATTTCCCCTCAGTTTCTGAACATCGACCACGCCGATACTTGTTGAGCTTTCCTTCCGTTCTTCCATTCTGCGATTTCACTATCGTGCAATTTGCTTCGCAATCGCGAATCTTCCTCGTGCAACTTGCTGTAGCTACCTCTCATGTAACTTGCTCAAGCAATCTCACTAGCAGCGGTTGTGTGAGCAAAGTATCCACAGTCATCGCCGTGGTTCCCCTCCCAACACAGAGGAAAACAGCTGGCAACAACCAGTCAGGGTCCGAGTCTGCCTTTGAAATGGCGCTATGCTCAGAGCATACCCATCAAAAGTCCGACAGTTGGCAGGGTGTGCCCCAAGGGTTTCTTCAAGAACCCGAACTTTTCCGAAAGGGGATTGCTTTAAAGGGAAGCTAAAAGGAAACCCCAAGGTCGGAAAAGAGCCTGTGTTGAAGCCAAATCTGGCATTAAAGAAGTGAGTCCAGGAGTCTTCCTCTTCTAGGGGATCCCCCTTCAGAAGCCAGCGTTTGCCATGCTTGCCCTCTCCCAGTGGGAACCAAAGAGAGGTTCCACATACAGTTGGTCCTCGGAATCAGCTTTTGATTCTGAAGCCACAACTTTGACACGTTCGCATCCAATCAAGCTGTCAAAGCAGACCTGCTTACTTGGAATTTGTGCCATAAGAAGCCACGGTTTCCTAAAAGAGTAGAATCCCAAATGAGAATGCTCCAGTGGTTTACACATGTTTGCTCTTTGCTTTGAACCTCAAAACTTTGCCCTTTGCGGAGACAGGCTTGTTTGCTCGCAGCCTCACAACTGCCACTCACCGCAAGCAACAGATATGGCCTTTGCATTGGAAAGACCAACCTCGTGAAGGACAGACGCCTCCATCAGAGGTGTATGGGGCCGCTTGGCCGAGTTGTTGCATTGCGAAAAGCATTGCTATTCTGCAGCCCTTGAGACCAGCCACAATACTCATTCCACATCTGGCCTAAGTGGTAGGTTCCATGTTGGCTCCGATTTAACAAGACACAACTGCAAGGGCTTTGGCATGTCATTCAACACACACACACACCGTTTTTTTTTGCCAAAAAGGCCTCTACCGTTTCCGCGGCAAAGGGGGGGCTGGTCCCTCGAAAACTCGGCTCGGCTCCGCTTCTCCTCGCCTTGCGTCGCGCCTTCCGGCACGTGCAGGCGGCTCCGAAAGCCCTGACGCAACTCCGAAGCCGCGGATGAGCGTTGGGGCTGGTACTGGGGCTTGGCCTTGGCAACCGAAATTGGCACTCATGACTCAAAGGCGATTTTGTTTATCGCATCTGCAAAGTGGAGTTGGTAGCACAGTAAAAGGGGCCAAGTCATTAGATACATCTGTGCAATAGGAACATGACATAACTTGCTTTACCAGTACCCCACCATTCAAAATTATCAGGCCCTTACAGTAACTCTTAAACTGTTTGACCCCCCAAAAGCGATCTTCCTGACAATTAAGATCCTTGGCCAGATTTGGGCTCTTTTGGGGTGTAGGGTCCCGGAACATTTGGAGACGTAGCCATACGAGCCCCGGTTTCAAAATAGGGCTCCTCCCCTAAGTTTAGAGCTCGTCCCCCATGTCCCTTCCAAATTAATGGGCCGTAGACTGCCAGCAATTTTGACTGAACCTCATATCTTTCCGCCTTGAAACATCCTTTGGACACTTGCTTGAATGGGGCGAGGTGAATCCAGCATGCGGCATCTAGCGCAGGCTTCGTGGATTTGTTGCCTTTCGCCCTGGCATCCCCAACCCTTTCCCACAAAAACACCGTACACACAAAGCAATCTGTTCAGATGCTGTTTCATTTTTTTGGATAAGGCTCCAGAGCAGCACCGGAACCCTTCGGGAACCACATCCAGCGCTCCGAACCACTCGGAGAACCCGTTGAAAAATCCAATCCGACAACTGCTCCACGCCACCCCATACCACCAAGAACCCTATCCAGCACCCGCTCCATGGAACCCCCAAAACCTTCTCCAGAGCCAAAGCCCCGGCCCTTCCAGAGCCGTCAGAACCGTCTCCGGAACCCTCCGGAACCGCAACTGTTCCATGGAATCCCCTCGGAACCCTCCGGAACCCCCCCTATGTCAGAGCTGCTCCGGACCACTCCAGAGATGGGTCTGAGCAGAGACCCAATAGCTTTTTGTTGGCTGTTGGAAAAAAACAGCCCAGACAAATTGGATTTGGTGCCCTTTTGGTTAGCTGGATTACAACCCGCCCTTCTTGGAAGTAAATCCAGACCCAATGTGCTGTTCACTGATTGATCTTCTTAAAACGGGGCGGGTAGATACGGGAAGAGAACCAAAATCATTCACCATCCTGAAATACGCGACCCGAGAAGAACCCTGATCATGGGGCCCAAGGTTGGAAACCAAACCTTGAGGTGGCGAATGCATGTGCCCAACTCCAAATCCCTCGTTTTCGCTTCTGCATACATGCCGCTTCAGCATGTCCCTACCGACGACTCCGAACATATCCCCCAACACCTGGCATGTCAGCAAACAACAAACTGTTCTCTGCAACCCCCTCGCTGAAAATGAATACCACCGAGGGTTGCTCAAGAACCTCGCACAAGGGCAAGTGGCCCCTGGCAGAGGGAAACCAATGGAAACCACAAGAAAATCACACCAAAAGCAGTGAAGACATCAAAGCTGACAGCTAACCCACTGGTTTGCCTTCATGTGAGAAATGACCCAACCTGTGGAACGTCACGTGAGAAACGACCAGTTGGGTGGTGCAGGATTTCGTTCACTGTATGTTGCAACAGAAAGCCACCCTGAAAGAAGGCGGTTGCAAAATAGATTCTGAGTGCCCGCCATACCGCGCAAGAACCTAGCAAGGATCACAAGTATTGAGCCATTCTGAGGGGTAGCACACTCCTGACCTTTTGGTCTCCTTGCCAAATGCCATCCGAAAGGGCAGACGCCGAATTCATTCTCTTACATCCCCAAATTGGGCGCGAATACCTTGTCCCTTTGGCACTATCGGTTCCATCAAACAGTTGATGAGTTTGGCGCTTGATAGAACCAGCCTTGATTTGTCATCGACTCAGGCAAGCTCTGTTTGCTGCATTTGATGGAGAAAACCTGGAACTACCTTGACATCTTGAACACATGCTGCACTTTGGATACTAGCCCAAATCAACATACACCGCTGGCACCACCAGCACCTCATCCACCACCACCACCACCACCAGCAGCAGCAGCAGCACCTCCTTCCCAGATCCGCGGCCTTGCCCAGCAACAGGACACCATCCTGACGGATCTCTCCGGGCGCGCAAAGGAGAGCCGGAAAGCGCTTGGATTGGTGGAGTTCAAACCCCGCATCGTCTTGGTTTCAAGCCGCGGCATAGGATTCCTTCCCTCCCTTCACCATCAACTCCAAATAAGACCCTAATTTACGACATCATTCAGAGGAAACTGCGCGGCGGGGGTTGCTTTTAGGGGGTGGGCTGTCTGAGAAAGGGAGGCACAAGCCCTAATCCACCGATCAGCTCGCTTCTCAATGGCAGCTTAGGCTCGCCTTTTGCTGTGACATCCAATTAACTTTAGATCAAATCCCAAATCACCAACCCACCCCACCCACCTCGGTACCTGATTTGGAGTCGCTTTGATTTGAAGGGACCTGGAAAAATAATATCTGATGTCTGTGTGTGGCCAGAAAGCCTGGAACAGTCAGGGCCTAAATTTAGCATCGAAGCAATTACACGCATTATCCTATGACCGATTTTGGCTGAAAGGGTTTCCCACGAAATCTTCAACCCTGGGAGTAGGTCCCAGGGTCCATTTCAGTGCTCTGGTTGACAGAGCCTCCAGTGCGACCCTGTCTGCCCCCTCATCTGCAATTCAATGAACCCCTTATTTGAGGTTCCTCCCACATTTGGTACCTTGGGGTTGACTAGCATTTTGCGAAAATGATCGCAGTTGCGGCTTTAGGCTAACTTTCTTGGGGTAAACCTTGCGGCCGTCTCGGACCTTTGGACTGGATCAATGTCTCCAAATTCATCAATGTGGAGTAAGGCAGGGCTTGGTCGGTAGCTTCCCGTTTTAAAGGTAAGGGATTCAGATTCTTTCAGATTCGTTCTGGGGAACGGGCTGTTTCTTCCAACTCAACGAGGAAGGTGCTTTCCAAGCTCCATCGCGGATTTCTACTCAACTTCTGACCCCAGGACCTACAAAGCTCACAGCATTGGCAGTCCCTTGATGGGGAGGGGGTGGGGGGGGGGCCGACATTTCCCACAAAATTTGGGACGAGCCGAAATTTGTGCATGCCGCGGGAAGTATGTATTTTCGTGGGGGGACTTGGATCCAAATCAATGGGACAGCCTCATGGTGCCAGCCCCGCGCACTCACTACCTCAACCATCGGCCAACTAAGCGGGAAGTCTTTGGCCAATATGGCCCTCTCCCCCAGGTATCAGATTTGTCGCCAGATTCCGTTTTGAGGGTACCCTTTTTGGGGCTGGTTCAAAGGGACACCAACAGGAAACCAAGCATGTCGGGGTCCAAATGCCTATTTTGACAGATACCCATATCTACATTGCCAAAGTGACCCGCCCGTTTTGAATCAAACACCCAGGGTCTCCACCACGAGCAGCCTTCAAAGATAAACCAAATCAACCGCCGGCTCTCCAAGCCTTGATCTCCTCGCGCAAGCGCACGCGCTGCCGTTCCTTGGAAAGAAAACCACACCGGAGGTCGATTCTGCCCGCAAAACCCGGGCTAGGGGTTCACACATATGGGCACTTCTCAAAACAGGGGTCCGTAAAATGGTTGGCTTGCCTTTGATGTCCTTTTACATAGGAACCAAAAGGGGTCCACCAATATGATAAACTCCCACGACATGTTGTACCTTGAAAACAGACACAGGGGCCGGAGGGACAAATTTCATCAACACATAGCAGTGATGGTTCCCAGGGGTGGGAGGAACAAACAACACAAAAGAAACTGTGTGTGTGTGCCGCGAAACGCGCGCCTGCGCAGTTGAAAGGCATATGCTTGGCGAAACCGCGCAGGCCACACAGAACGAACCATGCAATGGTTGAAACGCGCGTTTGTGTGACGTCCGAGACAATCATAATGACCAACAACCAACAACCAACACACAACAACAGCGAAGAAACAAACAGAAAAACATGCACACAAACAAGTAAACCCAAACACATACACACACTGACAAACACGCAAGCAAGCAAGCAAGCAAGCAAGCAACCAAACAAGCAACCAACCAAGCAAGCAAGCAAGCAAACAAGCAAGCAGGCAAACAAACAAACAAGCAAACAACAAACACTCAACCAAACAAACACACAAACAAACAAACAAGCAAGCAAACAAGCAAACAACAAACACGCAACCAAACAAACAAGCAATCAAACAAACAAACAAACAAACAAACAAACAAAACACACACACACAAATACACAAATACACAAACAAACAAACAAACAAACAAACAAACAAACAAACAAACAAGCAAGCAAGCAAACAAACAAACAAACAAACAAAAGCAAGCAAGCAAGCAAGGCAAGCAAGGCAAGGCAAGGCAAGGCAAGGCAAGGCAAGGCAAGGCAAGGCAAGGCAAGGCAAGGCAAGGCAAGGCAAGGCAAGGCAAGGCAAGGCAAGGCAAGCAAGCAAGCAAGCAAGCAACAACACGCAACCATACAAACAAACGAACAAGCAAACAGACAAACAAAAGAACCAACCAACAAACAAACAAACAAACAAACAAACAAGCAAACAAAAACACAAACAAACAAACAAACAAACAAACAAACAAACAAAAAAGCAAGCAAGCAAGCAAGCAAACAACCAAACAAACACACATACAAACAAAAGCAAAGCATCGAAAGAAAGACTAACGAACGCAGAAACAAACAAACAAGCAAACAAACAAACAAGCAAGCAAACAAACAAAGCAAGCAAACAAACAAAGCAAGCAAACAAGCAAGGAAACAAGCAAAGCAAGCAGACAGACAAACAACAAACAAACAGACAAGCGAGCAAACAAAGCAAGCAAGCAAACAAACAAACAAACAAGCAAGGCAAGCAGACAAACAAACAAACAACAAACAAACAAACAAACAAACAAACGAACAAACAAACAAACAAACAAACAAACAAGCAACACCCGCCACAACAGACATAGCAACGGACATAGCAACAACCATTTCTGATCCACTCGGCTCCCGACAAGCTGGTTCAAGACCGTCTTGGTCTTCGAGAACCTTTCCCTCAGTACCGGCTGCGGAGGTGCCAATCTCGTTTGGCACCCTTGGCCCAAAATGTCTGCCCATCTGCGCAGGTAGGAATCTTCGCAAATCACCAGTCAGCGGTGGATGGTCATTGCAGAAAGGCTTCTACAGAAGGGTGGGCAAACGCCTTGCTCATGCCAACGCCTGTCCACCTGAAAGTGTTCGTGCGAACTTTGGCTCATTCACAAGTCAATCATCAGCGAATTGTTGGGCGGCATCGTTGTGAAGTGGAATACAATCTTCTACGGTAGCGACCCACTTCGGATTTTAATGGACGCCATGTTTCAAACAGAGCTTCGTGAATGACAACATACCCACCCCTCGCCACCCACCCACCCACCCACCCACCCACCCACCTGCCCCACCCCAACCCACCCCACCCCACCCCACCCACCCCACCCCCCCCACCCCACCCACCCCACCCCACCCACCCCACCCCACCCCACCACACCCCACCCCACCCCGCCCCACCCCACCCCACCCCACCCCACCCCACCCCACCCCACCCCACCCCACCCCACCCCACGCCACCCACCCAAACTCACTCAGGGCGGCGGGTCGGCAACCCTCAGGGTCAGAACACAACAGTCCTGCCCAAACTCCTTTGGGATCAGGGGATTGGTTTGCTTTTGGGGAACCTTTCTTTTGTGGCTTGTTTACCCCAACTTACCCATTGCCTGGGCACAGGCTCGTGCCCGAATCACAGGTTATCAGCCGTAAAAGAAGTGATCAAATAGGTCGCGATGGCAATGCGAGCACGGGAAGGCCTCACTGCGCCCAAAACGAAAAACACCACTGTCAGAATGAGCGCGAAACATACGCCTACTACGGATTGCATGCCGAGTGCTGCGCCTATGCAAACAATGGCCACCAATGAAAAGATCGGCTCATATGGATAGGGCCTGACAGACATCACGTTGTAGAGAGAGGTCACCATGACACAGCCACCGAAGAGCTTGACAATTCCCGCGAATTCCGTCATGTCCACGTCCACAGAGGCATCCAATGAAAAAGCTTGCGACAACCAAGATCGTAACAGAAACCTGAAATGGAATTGCTTCGCGGGGGCGATCCAAAATGCCTTCAACAACGGAAATTGCAATTACGCAGGACACCCACATGCAGGGCAGCGTGAGCGTCCCGACGACCTCCTCTGCAGAGAGGGCTCGGATGTCACTCAGCAAGCGAGGCCCATGGACGGCCAACCCTCAGCGGAAGCAACATCAGTGCGGCCGCATCTACCCAAGCGTGGCCAAGGAGTCAGCCACAGCGGGCGCAGTGCCCCCTAATGAGCTGATGGCCGCCTGAAGAAAGGGGACGGGCATGAGGGGTGCGTCCACACCGTGCAAAGCCGGCTTTTTGATGGCGAGGCTGGAGAGGCACGCCTCGCGACAGGGGTCGTTGCTGGAAGCTCCCCGGTCGCCAGAATTGACCACCAGCGCGCCGGAGGGAAGGGCGCCCAACAGAGCAAGGTAGTTGGGGTGAGCCTCATCAATGAGAGCAACCTGAACGGTGTGAAGGTAACGCACAGCCGGGGTTCGATGGCGCCCAAGGAGGTCCTGCTGGAGCAGGCCCAGTGTCATAGCAGGACAGCAAACAGCATGCGAAAAATGCTCGTTGCGGTCCATAGAGGACACGTCGAGGTCAGTTTCCGTGGCCTGTGACGAGGCAAGGTACCGCGGAAAGACCTTAGAATGCGCCGAAACAGACTCCGGACCCAGGTGCGCAAGCAGATGCTTGGCGAACTCCTTGCAGGGGAGATTGGCCTTGGCTGCGAACAGGCAGCGGATGTCGAAGACAGGAGCCAGAAAAAATACCACAGCCGCGCAGTAAGTTTTGCCGCAGCCGAACACCCCCTGGACCGCGAGCGCGGAGCGGCCGGACCCCAAGGAGTGAAGGACGGCAAGGAGCAGGGAGAGGAAGTGCCCGTCCGGGGAAACAACCAGCCGCAGAAGCCCAGGAAGGCACCCACCCACCCACCCACCCACCCACCCACCCACCCACCCACCCACCCACCAAACCAACCCACCCAGCCACCCACCCCCACCCCACCCCAGCCTACCACCCACCCACCCCCGCCCCACCCCACCCCACCCACCCCACCCCCACCCCACCCCACCCCCCACCCCACCCCAGCCCACCACCCACCCACCCACCCACCCACCCACCCACCCACCCACCCACCCACCCACCCACCCACCCACCCACCCACCCACCCACCCACCCCCCCACCCACCCACCCACCCACCCACCCACCCACCCACCCACCCACCCACCCACCCACCCACCCACCCCACCCACCCACCCACCCACCCACCCACCCACCCACCCCCACCCACCCACCCACCCACCCACCCACCCACCCACCCACCCACCCACCCACCCACCCCACCCACCCACCCACCCACCCACACCCACACACCCACCCCCACCCACCCACACCCACCCACCCACACCCACCCACCCACCACCCACCCACCCACCCACCCACCCACCCACCCACCCACCCACCCACCCACCCACCCACCCACCCACCCACCCACCCACCCACCCTAAAAGGACTGATGCCTGAAAGAAGCCACAACTGCAGTTGGGAAGCGGCCAGCGGAGTTTCTCGAATAGGGCTACTGCTAGTGTCTGCATATGGCCAAGAACAATCAGCTGGCGATCCGCCACATAAGGGCCTCTCTAAAAATGACGTTGTTCTGAAGAGTCGCCGGTTGAAATTGTTGCCCCCGATTACTGAACAACATCCCAGCTGTTGATCACTCAAAGTCCCCTCAAATAACAGGCCTTTCCCCAAAAACAACATCCCCGCACAGTGTTGAGTTGTTCCTTCTTTGGGGGGGTTGCTAACAGACCCTTGGCCTCGGGTTTCAGTCAACCCGCACCTCGTGGGGCTCTGGGTCCGCTCCTCCCGATCCTTTGGGGCCTCGGCTACTCGCAAGGAAAAGATTCAACTAGAAGTATGCTCATGGGAAACTAGAAGAGGTGTTAATCAGAGACGTGAGCTGCAGCTCATCATCTGACGAAATGTCGGAACTTGCAACACCACATGACAGAAGATCTATGCGCGCGTATGATGGCAGCCAAACATATGAGCGTTCTCCAAAGTACAACCCACCCACCCCGCGGCTCAATTGTAAGGGTTGATTTCAATCGTCCAACGTAACACATTGGCGTGCTCCGCCTCTAGACGTCGATCAGTGTTCTCAAAAATACATCGCTGGAAAGATAAAACATCCAGCAGATTAATGTGGGTCCTGGCAACATGTGTTCTTAACGGTTGTTAGACACTAGTGTTCGGGGTGAAAGGGAGGAACCCAAAATCCGATGTACCATTGCACTTTCCTTAGGGGTGCCTTGAGTTTCCCAATGGCTTGCCTTTGGTTTCTCCCCCTTGGCTTCCTTTTGGCCACGCACAAGAAATCGCACTGGGGGTTGCCTGAAACACAAGGCAGCATTTGAGCACCGCCCTTTCCCCGTGAGTTCAGAACCAGTGCCTATTCCACCCAAACCGACATAGCAATCACCGATGCTCTGCTCAGTCTGAGGCCCATGGGTGCCGCAAAACTATTTGCATCCATGTGCGCAGAACCTTGCGGCCGGCCACCTGATCGACAAACCCTCTACGAAGCATACAGCAAGGATGCCAGAACGTGGGAACAAACTCCACCACATGCCGGCTTCCTCCCATGAAGACCTCCACCATGTTGACCCGACAACGTGAGCCAGCCATGAGCAGGCAAACTTTGAGCAGGTGGCTGGTCAAACTGCTCTTGGCCATGGTTCCCTTAACAGGAAGCATCAAAATCATATTGAGCATCCTTACTGCAACACAGGAAGCATCATCATGATTCAGGATCCTCACTACCAGGTGGATCCCGGCGCATCTTCTCAGTCTCACCATACTCCCGCGCTGGAGGAAAGGCCGCAAGCCTGGGCCCCCTACGCGGCTCTCCGTCGTGGCGCTCCTGGAGCTGGCTTCAAAGCCCCAAAACCCAAGCTGTGGGTTGGTCCTACCAAGGTGGTTCATATGGCTGTTGGTCAAACCAATGGGATCACATTTTGGGGTACCCATTTTAGTCTACTTTAGTGGGGATTGGGATGTTCACTGGGGGAACGGGGTTTTGACCCATGGCCATACCAGGTGGGAGAACCTACTAAACCGGCCAACTGAGAATTTGGGAGGTCGAATGTTGTTTGTGCACTATAGAGGCCTTACAGCCCTCATAAAACCTAGGAAGAAGAGCGCCTACTATCGCCAATGCAGTACTATACTGGGGCGCTGCTCAACTGAAGTGACCAGGTAAAAAACGGGAACCTGTTGGGGAATTGCCTGATTTCTTTGTGGATTGTGGGCCCAAACAAACAAGTTGAAGGTTGAAGAAACAGGGCGCACCCCCCCCTTTTTTGGCGGTGGAACCAAGGGCAACAAAAAAGAGGAGACGATCCTTCAGCAGACCGAAAGCGTGCGTGAAGCAGCTTTGGTTGCTGTCCAAGTCCGAATCTGGCTGGTGGATTGCTTACCCATGGAACCGTCCTTGACATTTCATAAGACCAGGTAGCGGGCTTCAGCAAGGGAGCCCCCTCAGTTTGGTCATACTGGTTGAGAGGTGGAGGGCAAAACTGAACGAACCACCCGGAGGGGGGGGGGCGTTGGATTGACGGGTTGGAGGTTTGGTGTTGGATAAAATCAGCCGACAGTCAGCCCGATGTCCTTTTGCTGTAAAGGTTAAAAAGGGAAGGCTGGTCACCTGATACAGGTTTTCTCCAAAACAATCACCATGTTTATAAATATACATCTTTTCGGGTAGGCTAAACATGAAACAGAATCTGAAGATATGTTTGGAATACCCCAGATGCGGGGCAATGATAGTGCCAACTGGGATCCGCAGGACAAA